AACTTTGATCGAGTCCGGCGAATAAACGGATTTGGTGGGTGGGTAAAGGTGTGTTTGGCGGTTTCTTTTGTTTTTTTAGTGTTTTTATATGGAGGTTTTTATGGGCGTTTTTTATGGTTGATGTGTGGGTGATGAAGGGTGGCTAGGCGTAGAGGTGTTGTGGTGGTTGGCAAAGTTAAAAGGAAAGGCTCATAGCGGTTTTAATGGGTGATGGTAGCTTAGATGATCGGGGATGATAATTGGGAGTGGTTTTGGATGATGGTGCAAGCTCAAAAATCTAGGTAGAGAGGAAAATGATGGTTAGAAAATTTTGAGAGATGATGGATAGTGGTTGTGGGGAGAAAGATGAGTATTTATAAGTGAAAATTAGGGTTTTTTAGGTAAAAATCAATTTCAATCCTTGATTCCTCCTAGTTCTTCGGATTAAATATAATTTGGGTTGTTTGAACTTTAATGGCATCCCAAATTGCAATTGATCGAGCCTTTTCTTAAATTTCTTTCAATCACATCCCTCTTTTTTTTTTATTTAAGTATTTGGGGTTTTTGGTTTTTTAATTTTATCCTAAATCGAGTTTCTTTTGGTTCTCAAACTTCCTATTTCTTTTAATGAAACCTCTCAAAACTAATTTAAGATATTTATTTTAATTGATTTCTTTTCATTTTTTTTTGGTTATTTATTTTCTTTTATTTATTTATTTATTATTATATTTTTTTAGAACAATTAAAGGAAAATAATGATGGAGAAATTGGGTATCAACATTACTTCTAAATTTTTAAATTATTTAAAATAATAAAAAATATTATATAAACTTATATGCGATAATGTGCGGGTATTGTGCTGGTATTCTTAAAAGAAAAAAATCCTTTTTTCGTTAGGATTACACTGTTAATACTTGCTTGGACAGTGGCATTAGAGGCAAAGCGCCACTTCGTAGGGAAGCTTAACTCGGCCCATGTTAACTCTACAAATTTGCACGGTAGGCTGACAATAACTCCAAACCCGCTACAATGTTGATAGATAATATGCTTAATTGCTAAAAACTGGAGCCTTATTTCTCGAACCCACTCAGCCGGAGCGCCTGTTGGACTTCATCAAGCCATGATCGGTTGGCTTGGTATACTAACCTCAGTCTTGGGTGGTCTGCAATCTCGGATGTTTCATGCGGGAAATAATAAGCTTATCTCAGCTGCTGTGGGTCATTCAGCAGAATTTCTGCATATCATCGATTCTTTTCATGTTTTGACTTTTCAGGCTATGCATGCATGTATGCATTCTTGGTGACGGTCTGGGCTAAATGGTTTGAATGTCCAGATTCAACGCAAGGATACGTACGTTAGAACACTGAACTTCCAGATGCCTACTATGCTTCAACTTTGTGGACCATATCATTCATTCTTCGGCTACGGCTTTTGTGTGTGTGTGTGTGTGTGTGTTGGGGGGGGGGGGGGGGGGGGAGGGGTGGTGGGGCGGGGGCGGTGGGAGGGCAGGTTCTTCTACGCTATGTCTGCATGTGAAAGTTCATTAAATCTATGCAAAACCTTTTAAACCTTTTGTCCCAGGAATTAATATTTTATGCATATTCCACCTCTGAAGCGAAAAATTAATAAAAATAATGTACCTAATCCTAACTACCAACCTTAGGGTGTAGAAAGTATCTTTCAATATTATTTTTATAAACTCAGTCTTTTAAATCAGGTTAATCGGATTTGGTGTAGGACCCACCTGATACTATACTATAAGCTATGTCTGCATGTGAAAGTTCTTTCAATATTAATAAGAAGAACCCATCGGCTGGATGATGTTGTTGTCCTATTTATGAGAAACCTTAGCCATTAGGGAAGGTAATTATCATTGATCATCAGTCATTGAATGGTCAGTTTAAGGTTTGGGTCGGTGGTCCGCAATAGGTCACAACCGTGGGCTAACTACACCTCTTAAAGACCAATTATATCATGAAACGTGAGTTTGGGTCTACTTTAGTTTGAAGCTACTTCTTGTCAATATTAATAACAACTTTGAAGCCAAGTAACAAAAACCATTTGGGATTTGGCATCCAATGCTAAAGTCTGTTATAGTCACACCATTGTGCCAAGCTACTACGATCTAATCTCCATGGCCTGGAAATTGTCATGGCATATAAAATATGATGCGCCTGTTAACAGAAAGATGGACACAATCTCCATGGCATATAAAATATGAGGAGGAATTTTATATTATTTATGAAATAATTAGTGTAATTTACACTATAACAGAAATATGGACACAAAAAGAAAAGAGAAATAAGAACGAAAATTTTTTTTAAAAAAATTATGTCTCAATAGATATTTTTTTTATCATTTTTAATGAATTTGGATGTAATTTTTTTTTTTATCTCTTTCCCAAAAAATAAATCTATAAAATAATTATTAATCATTAAATATTTTAAAATTCTATGAGATGAGATTCCCAGTCTAGGACCTCTAGAGTTGTAATGTCATGTAAAATAGAATTTTGCAACTCAATGGCTCATGAGCGAGGGACCCTTGTAAATATACTAAAACTAAATATAATTTCACACTAGATAAGCTTTTTTTTTTTTTTTTAATGGTGATATTTTTGTTTATTTTGGTTCTTATTTGTAATCTTACCTATTTTGTTCATTTGAATTTTGATCAAAACATTTTTGGCCCCGCATTCTATAATTTTTTTTTTTTTTTTTGTACTTTTTATAAGTTTTGATATCAAACATAAATATGAAATAATAATAAAACCAAACACCTAATAAAAGATTAAATTAAAATTTTTATTTCTAGATGGAGATAATGTAATCTCCAAAATTTTACTATTTGCAAGCCCTTTTTGGCTTTTAGCTAAAGTTTTAAGGTAATTATTATTATTATTATTTATGTGGACCTTACCTTGTTTTGATCATTAAAATTTTATTCCGTGTGATTTTTATCCCTACCTTATGAATAATGAGCTTTTTATTTGTACTGTTTTTATGTTCTTTTTGGCTTTTAGTGATTTTTTTTATTTTCTTCTGTGTTTTTTTTTTAATTAAATAAGTTTGATCATATCAAGACAAATAAACTATAGATAAATAAAATGATAAAAATTATGATAATTTAAGATTCAATAAGTCGTCATATTGTTATTTTAATTATCGGTTGTTATATATGTTTATAATAAAATGCTTAATTGTATTAAGTAATAATTAGTAATATTATATTTTTTAACTTCACAAATGTTTTTTTGTACTTTTTTTGCATGGTCTTTTTTTAAAAATAATTCTTTTGCACAAAATATTTTTTATTCCAGTCATCATTTGATATATTTTTTTCTTATTATTATTTGATAAAAAGACAATATGAAACTTTTTATTTCTATAAAGTAGATTTATCTAAAAACTTTGAAATAATTTTTTTCTACATTATTTTAAATTATCATATTACCATTGCAGATTGTTAGAAATTTATATAGTTGACTACATGAAAAGAGATTACGTAGCTCAGCACACCAACGCTGAATTTATAAAGCCGTGACAATGCAACACTATCTATGATCAGAAGACATATATAGACATTGATGTGATATGGAAGATGTTTAAAATTCAAATATGATTAAAAAAAAAAAAATCCCACAAAAGAATCATAGAAAAATGTATACAAAATTTTCTTGTTGATGCTAATTGATAAGATAGGAAACAAAAGTCCAGATGTTTTTTCATCTTTGATGTAAACCAATAGACTTTGAAATTCATGAAACAATATAAGCGTAGTAGAAACTAAAGAAATATTGTCGGCTCAATTTTAAGATTTTTTGAATCTAATTTAATGTCAAACAAGCCAACGATCAAAACATATGACTTTACCGATGACTTAGAGGTAATTTTGACAATAAATAAATAAATAAATAAATCGTTTAGACCTTCAAAATCAACTTTTACCTTTTTCAAGATTTTTTCCTTAATAATTTTGAATTTTTAATGTTTGTTTTCTCTCTAAGTTACTTTGGGGTTTTAATCGAAATTTACTATTTATGTCTGATTTTGAGACTATACAATAATTATGCTTTGGAGTTGATTATAACTTAGTAATTTTTGTTTATTGAGGAAAATAATTTAATCCCTATAATATCAAAAATAATTCATTGATTAGTGTTGACTGTCAACCATGCTTAAATTATTAGTTTTTTTTCCCCTTTTTCTCAATAATTCTCCTCCTTTTACCTCTTTCTTTTTTCCCTTTTCTATTTCTTAGTAGAAAGAAGACAAAAAAAATTGGATCATGGCATAGATGGAAATGAATAGGTTTAAAAATATAAAGATTGAACATATAATTTATAAAATCAGGATTGATCAGTTATTTTAAAAAACTACAAAGACTAATTTATAATTAACTCATGTTCAATGCGTTCTTTAAAAAATCAGTGTCCAGTATCTGATGGTAGGAGGGAAAAAAAATCAGTATGGAATGCTCACGTCAATTTGAGATTTCTTTATTAAATGTCGGTCATAGTTTTGTGGAAAAGAAATACTCTAGTGGAAATCGAAAGGTACCAAATTTAATTTAGAAATGTAGATTAAAGATTTCCAAAATATGGTTTTCCAAATATATATATTCCCAGGCATAGATAGATACAGAACAAATCCAGATACTAATTACCAAAAACAGGTTAGTGGCAACAGCTTAATGGAAGTATCATATATTAATATATATCCAGAAGATTTTTCACACTACCTGGTAACAGAGATTAATTTTTAGGTCATTCCATTAGCTAGCTAATAAGCCAAGCAAGACTCCAGAGAAGCGTTGGCATGCAACAATCGAAGTGGCAGATTCAATGGGAAACTTAGAAGAAACTAATAGTTGAAAGCTATTAATTGATCTCAACATATTACGCATACGACAAACCATATTAATTGCAAACAAACTAATAAACTAAAACAAATAACTTAGCAAGAGCAGAAAGCCACTTCCAGTGATCTTGAATATTATGAATGGCGGATACCTATTATTCTTCATTTCTTCTTCAAACTATATGTGCCACTCGCATCCGCAAATACTGAAGGATTCTTCTTCGTGCTTTGCTTCATCATGCATTCTCTGGCAATAAAACAAGCAGAACTGAAAGAGTGAGGACTTTATGCTTAGAAAAAAAAAAAAAATTGCTTACAACATATATACCTCTGCAGCATATAAAGATTTGGTTGAATTGTCTATTAATAACAATTAATATGTTCTAAGATCAGAGGGCATATATAGAACCAGGGGAGATAGGGGCACTGACAATCAACTAAGTTTGCAGGATGGGGATGATTTAAGCTTATTCGATTTGTTGTTTTAGTAAAATTCCATAAGGATTTTGTGTAACAAAAATAAAGAAGATTTAGGGGAAACTAACCGAAGAGACTGAGAAAGTTTAGAAGCTTCATGAAAATTGTTTTCGTCTCGTGCTTTCAAAATTTTCAACATAAGATTGAGGCGCTGCTGATTGCTTGCAGCCTGTTGCCATATAAGGAACGTTTCCCTTTTGAGTTGATCACATTCAAACTCAATCTCGTTAAACTTCTCTCTGATTTCCTTTTGCCCTTCTCTATTATGGTTCTGTTGTTCAACAATCTCTCCCATCTCAGCTTTTAACCTTTCCACGCTGGCTTTTGTTTTCCTCTTCCTTTCGTTTTCTATATGCATTTTTTTTTAAACATAATTTTTTATTCACATTATAACATGCCATAATCATAAAATTAACATAAAACACGTATGAAAGTACCCTTTGGTCAATTTAGCAACTAAAGTAGAACTGCTAAACCTACTTTACATGTCATCGAAAAGAAGAACGATAAAAGTAAAGATATACGGAAGCCACTTCAGAATTGCTAGCTGTTCATGTAGGGACAAGTTGATATTTCCTAATCATGAAGAGAGACAATAAATAAGCAAATAACTTTATTGTTATGTTCCCATCAAGTATAATTTCCTATTCTTTAAAAAAGAAGAAGAAGAAGAAGAAGAACAATCGCTATATATATATGCTCTTTATCTTTAAAAATGCTTAACAACTTTCTTAAGTTTTATCTTTGAGCACATTCTAAATTCAAATTTTTTTAATATATGCCATTCTTCATCCAATTGAATGATGATGCGCACAAGTCACCAAAAGGATGATGGCACACTTTTGCAAAAGCTCTTTGGGTGAATTTACTGGGTTTTTCATTTAAAAGCTGCAACAGACTTCCTATATTGGAGTAGCATGCAATATTCTTATTTTTTACCACATAATATTCATATGATAAATTATATTCTGTTTTGATAGATGAAAACAATTAGAAAGTCTATCAAAACAAGACCCTCTATTCCTAAATAATTTAAAAGTCAAAGAGTGTGTTTACTTAGATCCAGAATGGCATTTTATAAAATGAGTAATAGCAAAGAACGCTCGCTGGTTTTACCTTTCCTGCAAGACAATTGTTTCTTGAAGCGGTTATCAAGAGATTCGGATATCAAAAAATCCGTTTGAATGATTCTTCGATACGACTAAAGGAAGGAAGTTTTCAAAGGTTTTTCATTTTATTTTTTGGATTAATATCTTTATATGTCCTTACATAATAAACAAATTTTCAATTTGTCTATATGAAAAAAAAGTATCTAATCTGTTTTTATATTTTGACTTTGTTTCTAATCTATTTTTCTAGTCAAAATTTTCGATTAATTTTTAAAAATTAATCTTTATATTAATAGATATAAATAATTCATGTTGAATAATAAAGATAATTTTGTTAAATCATATATTAATTTGATTTAATTTAGTCAAAAATTTTAACTAAATTGATACATTAGAAACCAATTCAAAATATAACGATAGATTAAAAACTCTTTTTAGAAACATATTAAAAAATTGATCTATTATATAAAAAACAAGTGAGGGTATTAACTCTTATTTTGACGAGTTCTAGAGAGACGACCCTTATGAGTAGGGATAGCAATGGACGAATACCTGGCCTATTAATTTAATTTTTTACCCTAATCATAAAAATAGTAACCTATTCAATATCATTAAGAAATCATCATATGAATCTTTACTCAGTCCATAACGAGTCCATGCTAATTTACCCGCCCAATTTAGTATCCATTAAATACCTGCTAAATTTAATTTGTTAAAAATATTCATTTTAATCCTTAAAAATTTTTAAAAAGGTTTTTTTGATCTTTAAAATTTAATTTTTATTTTATTTTTGCATTTTGTTCATTTATTTATAAGTTTTTTTTTTTTTTGTTCTAAAAGTTTTCGAAAAAACATTTTGATCCTTAATTTTAAGCAATTAAATCTCTACGTATTAATAAAAAAATCTAAATAAATTAGTAAGTATTAATAGAGTAAAGAGTGGGTATTTATATCCTGAAATTATATTAATGGGTATACATTTTTTCTAACGTTATCCACTTCACTACCCATTAAGAATATATTCATTAAATATTTTTAATAGGTATTTATTGGACTGGGTAAAGTGGATATTTGTTTTATATTCAATTCATTGTCATCCCTACTTATGACCCTAGAACCTAAAATAGTTTCACTTTGATCCATCCGAGTAAAATATCCCAACCATTCAAAAACAATAAAAACCTAAAATATAAATTAGAGAAACAAAGTCTAAAAATAAAAATAGACAATAAATTGGATTTTAAACTTAAAACCCTTAGTTTGTTTAACTAGTTCTACTCCAAATGAATAAACATATTACTATAATTATAAGATGTTAGCATGCATATCAAAATTGTAATAAATTGGAGGTAGCATTGGCGGCATCAATTAAACATTCTTGGAGGAGCCATCTCTGTAATTAGCTCAAACCCGATGGCAAATCGCCGCAATAAAATTCTGCATTCCTGGAGCTTACACTAAATCGATCTCTTAGGCCTTGCTTCATCAGCTACCATTGTGCATTCCATGATCCTTTTGCAATAGTATCTGCTTTTTCTTTCTTTCTTTCTTGTATCAGAAACGGTTTATCTCTCTCTATATGATCAACAAACGAATTTCAGCAATGGCAATATTAGTCTACCAATTAACTTGGGAAAACTTCGGCTACTTTCGAGCTATAAATCGATCGGGCAAACACTTGCAAACATTACCTCGTATTTATAAAAATATTATTCTGGACAAACTGCAGAGGAAATTTCGTGCACTCTTTCTTTGATTCTTCTTTCTTCCTTTTTAATCCAAACGATCTTACTGCTATGGTAGAGCATTATCGGGCGATAGAGCCCTACAATCCAACTTTTTCTAAAGAAGAAAAAGAAAAATCGTTATTAGATGCAGACTGGTCTTAGCAAGGTTGACTTGCTTGATAAATGGCCCCGCACAAACCGTAATGCGAGGATACGAGAACTTTCGAACGGAAAAGTTCAAATTTAATGATATTATAATAGGTTTGACCGTTGTTTGGTTAATTAAGAGAATTCTGGAGACAGACAGTTTTGGAACGTAAGCCGAGGTGTGGATGGAAAATTAAGAGAAATTTTGTGGTAAAAACAGTACCGGTACTGTCTTTTAGCTTGATCTTAATAATAATAATAATAATTAATTAAAGCATAGAATAAGTATTTAATGAAAACACGACGACAATGGCTTGAAACTATCAAAAAAACAACAGACGTACGAGTGGCAACCATGCATGATCCACTGATCCCTCAGCCACCTATTCACATGAAACCTGCATGTGCGCCATTTGGATTTGTTGCGTCCGGTGGAACGTACATGTAACGTATACCAAAACCCATTCATGTGACCTGGTCGTATTAGGTAATTTTAATTTTTGTTTTTTCCTTACGATCACATTCTTTGGACACAAATTACAGACACTATGGAGAGATAAAGATATTCCGGCATTTTTTTATCCTTAAAGAATTGTATTTTGATAATTTCGAATTCAATGTATGAAATTACATAATTTGAATTCTAAAATCCAAGAGATTAAGTAAATTCGATCTAAATTATTTAATTTTTGTTATTTGTAACGATCAAAATTTATCTTTACTTAATTTTTTTTTTAGTTGAAGCAGAGAGAACTGTCTTTATCCTTTGAGTTCCTCTCCTGGTGCTTTGAGAATATCTGCAGGGAATTGTAAAGATAAATACATTACAATAAAATGCTTCAATTGATCGTTACTTAATTTTTTTTTTAGTTGAAGCAGAGAGAACTGTCTTTATCCTTTAAGTTCCTCTCCTAGTGCTCTTGAGAATATCTGTAGGGAATGGTAAAGATAAATACGTTGCAATAAAGTGCTTCAATCATTAATGTGTTTGCCCCTAAATTGAAGCAAATTTACAAATACCTTATCAAACCCATTCAAAATATGCATTCAAGTGAACTCTTTCGCTTGCAGCTTTCTCTTCCTACCCAGAGTGAAATAAATTGCTGTAATGTAGGGCTTTTCTGTCTTCCCTTAGCGAGTTCAACCGTACCCACAAAAGAAAAGTTCAATCACATTGCCCCAAGTAAGCTTCAAGTAGAAAACAAGTTGTTAGAAGTTCTATATATAATTTTTCCCAATACGTAGAAAAGCCCATAATCCTATAAGAGAAAGAAAGCAGCATTTCATAGTCTAGCCAATATCAACATTCTTTTCGGCATGACAATAACAATAGCATCGACTAGTATAACACAAATTGACCATCAAAATATTACACAAGCAAAATGGCCCTCAACTTCATAATTACATCTTCAAGAGCTACATGGATAAAGGAAGAGCATCTCCTAAAATCAAGCTACCTGTGCTAGTGGTTCATCTGCACTTGACGTCTCCTCCCTGAAAACTACGTCAGTTAGAATAACAAGCATAAAAGAGGGAATTAGGTACCCTGAAAACCATATATTCTCAATCTCTCCCCTTCTCTCCTTTTCAATCAATCATTTCTGCTAAAACCTAATTCTTTAGGAGAGGAAATGAAAGGGTAAAGGCACACGACATGTTGTATGTGGTGACTCCACCTCAGAAGTTTTATTTATTTATTTATTTATTTCAATCAATTCTCACAACTTAGATTCAACTTCTCCTCTTTTGTATCTCCCTCTATGCATTATTAAGAATTCAAGCATCACCATGAACGCTATTACAATTAACGATTTAATGGAAAAAATTGCCATCATACTATTACAATTTAGTAATTTCAAGCATTTATTATCAATCTGTATAATTTGAATATCAAAATATCAATTTTTGAACAAGTCATATTCAAATCCATTAATTGTAAGTTGATCATTAATTTTTTTCTGCTGTTAATTTTAAAAAAAATGTTAAAAATATTTTCCTCCATTTTTCAAAAGTTATTCTTTCTATTTAAAATGTTCACATATTAATGCCTTTTTATTTTTCATAGTCAATCAAATTGTTATTTGCATATAATTTTTTAAAATTTTAAAAAATAACTTTTGTGTAGTATCATTATTTATTAAAACAATCAACTTCGTAATTAGAAAAATAGAAATATCTATTGGTTGAATTTGATTAATTGAAATTATCAAATAATTGATTTTAACAAAAAATTTTCTTTTTTCAAGCCAATAAATTTATTTTTATGATTGTTAGTCATTAAATTTCAAGTATAGTTGTATTTATTTAATATTTTTTTATCTTCACTTGTTGTGTAGATTTTTTTTTCTCTCAATTGATTCAGATATGTAATATGC